TTTTCTTGGGTGGTGCTTAGCATTTCTCTAACTATTCTGCTTATGTCTAGCTTCAGGTCATTAATAACTTCATTCCTGAACTTGTCTATGAGGCTCTGGAGATAGCGCTTTGTGTCTATTGGTGCTGTATCTGCTATTGCCTCTTTCTCAGGATTGGGGGCCGAGGAGCCTTTCTTGTTGCTGCCTCTTCCCATATTCTTTGTTCCTTATATATGCAATCGTATATAGGAGGCCCAGCTTCCTTCCCTGTCCGCCACAGTCTGATTGAATTGTGCCGGCTAGGTGTTCCCGCCCACCGCAGCGCACCAGGAAGTTGCATACCAGGCAGCTTATGCAGGGCCCGCCCCTCCAGGTCAATCTACCTTCAAGGGCTGGGACCTGGGCTGTGCTAGCCTACTGGGTCTCAGCCAGCAGCGTCATGTAGGCTAGGCACTGCTCACCAATCCCGCTTGAGAGGGGATAGGTGACAGAAGCCACTGCAGCGCCCTGTTCCCACAAGTCTGTCTGGTCCCAGAATGTCCTCTGTTGGAGTCTCCTAGACCGTGGAAGAGTCCTAGTTTCTCTCACTCACCGCAGGTCAATGCACAGCTCCCCGCCCGTCCTGCTTTCAACTCCGTTCACTGATTCCCGTTCTCAGAGTTTCCTCGTGTCTCTCTCCCTGCCAAGTCGATGTAGACGCAGCAACGGCGGTGGCGGGAAACCAAATCGCAGCTTCCACTGGCTCGGGCTCCAGCTTCCACACTCAGGCTTTTCTGTTCCTGTTATAGCACCAGGATTGCATTCCCAGTTGGTTTCTCTCAACCCAGTTCATTATTGGGTCAGCAGGGCATATCTCCACTTGCTTATGATTTCTTACTCCACACCATTCCTGAATTCTAAGCTGGGTCTTTCAGAGAGCCTCCGTAGCTGCTACTATCTGTCCACCATGTTCTCCCAGAAGTCCTCTCATTCTTTGTATTCACCTGTCCTGGGTCAATGTTCTCAGGGTTGGGACCTGGGTGGGGACTTTTTGTTGTTGCTTCCTCTTCCCATCATTTTTGCTTCTTCCGGGAGGCCCCAGTTTTTTTCTTTGTTGGTTACAATTCTTCTGAAGCACGCTTCCCACTGCCATGTGCTAGAGAGTTGCAGACAGGGATAGCATATGTTGGCCCCTCCCTTCCGGGTCAATCAAGCTGCTGTGGCCTGCACTGTATTACTTTGTGCTGCCTCCCTTCTGGGTCAGTCAAACTTCTGAGGCTTCACTGGGTTAGTGTGGTTAGTGTGTTCCATCACTGTAGGGACTAGATTTCAGATAACCTATTGGGTGTCAGCCTGGTCACGTGACCCAGGCCTAGCTCATTCCACCAAACCCATTTGGGAAGGGAACAACTGACTAAAGTCACTGCTGCCCCTTGTACTTGCCAGTCCTGCCCAGTCCCAGAATGTCATCTGGGAACCCCCCTTTCTATAGAATGGCTCCACTTTTGTCACTCAACACAGATCGATGCAGGTACCCCACCAACTCTGCTCTTCATTTGGCTCGCTGACCCGCTGAAGTCAATGTAACTGCGCCTCCAGTGAGTCGAAGTGGTGGGACCTCAGATGGCTTGGCAAGTCATGGCGGGACCTCTGATAATTGTCAAGTCACCCGCTGCAGTGGGACCTTGGACAGCTCGGCAAGTTGCCTGCTGCGGCGGGAGCACTGAACCTTTAGCTGTTCCAATAATAGTACCAGGACTGTATGTTTGGTTGGTTCTTCTCACCTTAATTTCTCCTTGGGACGAGAGAATACATCTCCCTCTGTTTGGGGCTCCCCACTCTGTATTATGTTGAATTCTAAGTTAACTATCTCAGGGAGCCTCTGTAGCCAGTTGTTATCTATCCACCATCTTTGCTCCTCCCCACACAGGAGAATTTGAGCCCTCTCTCTGTCCCTACCCCCAACCCTGAGGTGAGGACACACAAGGACACGGCCATCTGTAAGCCAGAAAGCCGGTCCTCGCCAGACACCAGCTCTGTCAGCACCTTGACCTCAGACTTGCAGCCTCCAGACTCTGAGAGTGAATGTTGTTGTTTGAGCCGCCCCATCCACAGTGTTCTGTAATAGAAGCCAGAGGTGACTAAGACAGAGGCTTGGCAAGGCCACGTGGCTTCCCCAAGACTGTAACGAGGCTGGGAGCTACACCCAGGGTGCCTGGCTCATCCTGTTAGTGGGTGTCAAATTATTTGCCTGTGAAAACAAGCGTTTTACAACTATGACACAATATCACACTGCTAAAACAAAAGAATGGTTTTATTAGCACACAGGAAAGTCAGAACCTTTCCTTGTAAGAGTCCTTCTAAACACTGGGGGTTTTCAGTTGCTGCTAGCATTGGCTGGTGCTCACAATTCTGCATGATAGTCAGAAATATCCACAGGGAAAACTGAAGAAAAAACGGACCAGGCTTCATGTAATGGCATTTCTGGACTGGCAAGTGCCTGACCTTGTTTAACTGCACAGGCGTCGCAGCCCTAATCCTGCAGACACACCTGCTCAGAGTGGGGTGAAGACACTGCAGGTGTAGTCTGCAGTGTTCTGCAAATGCCACACTGGGCAGTAGAGAACACGGTGGTGTCCAGGTACCTAACCTCGAACTGAGCCTGAAGGCCGTTGCTGAGCTGAGGAGTTTTTAAGTCACTCCTTAAAAATGACCAACTCTACCAATCCTATGCAGATTGCTTTTCTCATAATTGTGCAGTGTTCACACCTGTGGGTGTGATCTGCGGGATTCCCATAGGGAAGAGGAAAGACAGGGCCAGCCAGCTGTGAGGGAGGCTGGGCTTCGGGGGTAACAGGCGCCCCGCAACACCTGAGGCCAACTCAGCTGCCGCTGCCCTCATGCTCTGTATGGGGCTACTTTCTGGTTAAAACGCTCAGACAAAGCCCGGAAGAGAGTGCTCTGGATGTGGAATTCTGAGTAATACCCACTGTGTATGTGAATTCTCTAATCATGCCCCTACCTGCCCTTTTTTTTTGGTACCAGGATTGAACTCACAACCTTGTGCTTGCCAAGCAGGTGCCTATGCCGCTGAGCTAAACCCCTGGTCCTCTCTCTAATCACCCTTCAGCATCCACACTAACCCAGGGCCATGGTGGGGTCCTAGAAAATCATGACGACACTAAAAAAAGGTAACAGAAGGCCTGACTGGAGAGTGAGTAAAAATGTTATGTGAAACAGTAAAATTATTCACATACTGCTGGAAATAAAAGGCACCTTTTATTTTATTGAAGTGTTTCTAGCTGCTAAGGGATGGGGCTTAATCGTGCAGTTCTCTGTAGTGTACAGCCTGTTTTCCTGTTGTTTTTTTAAATCTTCATGAATACTGTAACACTACCACTCAGTGCAACCCAATAATAGTTTCCGGCCTCCTTCAGGCTGAACCACCTCCTACTAGAGGAGCCGAAAACGTTAAACATTCCCTTTGAATCTGTGTAACTCAATGTTGGCCTGTGAGATATAATGGGGTTCCTTCCAGAATGGCCTTTATGTACCCCCACCCCATCCTGTGAAGATGTGATGCCTGGGGCTGTGGCAGCCCTCTTGGGATCACATAACCCTTAGCCTGAAGTTGAAAGCTATCAGTGGAAAGCTGAACAGTCTTATTCCTTGGAGGCATCATTCAAGTGGCAATCCAATCCCTACAGCACTTATTTCTAAACTTAATGAAAGATTTATTATGTATAAACTGCTTGCTTTATGTCACCTGCAAAGAATGCACCTGACATAAATGTAAAAAAAGAAAAAAAAATCTAAGGGGTGCATGGGTTGATCACTGAGGTTTGCACAGACAGCGGCGGTGGAGGCTGGAGAGACACTGGCTGTTAGCAGTGTCCCGAACAGTACAGATACTTGTTTGCACTGAGGGATAGGATTCGGGTTAGCAGCTGCACCTCTTCTCCCTGGACAGTGAGCTGGAGGCTGAGCCGGAAAGTGTTTGCAGACCCCTTGCCGAAGTGCTTTAACCAGGTGCTCAGCTCTGAGTACAGCTTTCCTGGCGTTCTGGGAAGCTGACGTGAAGCTTCAGCAGCAGAAACGACTGACGAATGACGAGGGGTTTATGGGAACAGGAGCGTGTAAGCCAAAGAGAAAAACCGGCTCTGAAGGGAGAACTTGGGGCCTCACAAGCAACGTGAGTCCCAGCAGCTCACTCCTAATAGCGCTCTGCCTACAATCTCCAGTCCAGGCTGTGGTCTCCAGCTCCAGGCTGCTCCCTCCCGTGGAGACACAGAATTCCGGTGGGCACAGGTCTGGCAGCACGGGCAGGCGAAGCTGTCTGTGGCACACCAGAGGCTTTGGTTCCTGACAAGTCTGTTTTTAGAAAAATGCCCTCCTTTAAAACAATTCTCTTGCTTTGGAAAAAAGCAGAGGCCCAAGGCAAAAGGGTTTCGGGCCCAGGATACAGCTCAGTGGCTTGAGGTCCCGAGTACAGTTCCTGCTACCAACCAAACAACCCAAGCAATTAGATTTAGCTTGTCAGGCTGCAGATGTGAAGTGGGGCCAGCCCGTGGGTCTCTGGGGAGGCGACACGTGCCCGGGACCCTCTCCCGCCCACCTGAGGATGGTGCCTGAGTGTCGCCCTCCCTGAATCTGAAGTTTCACACGCCTCGGGCTCCCTGACTTGGATTTCATTCTTGTCACTGGAGTCCTCATAGCCATCTCTAAACACCTGTGTACAGATCTCATCGTGTCTCCTCACACAAGTAGTTTAATGTGCGAGAGTAGGCTGAAGCGTTCTTCTGAATAAAAAGTATCTGGCAAATCCAGCATTTGCTTTCAGGTTTATTTTCTGTACAAATCCTAAGTTTCAGACCTTAGACGTTTATTTACAGCTCGCCAGTGTGCTGGTTACCCCGCGGGGTGGAAGGGTGAATTCCGTGACGGAGAAGGTGCCCCAGCTTCCCGAGGGCATCCGCCGGGCACGCCTGGGCCCCGGGTTCATCCCTAGTACCCCCACCCTGAAAAGGAGTGTACTAGTCACATGGAATTAAATACTTTATTTTAGATACAAACATGTTACACACTCTATTAGACCATACAATGTAACTTAATATTCACTTTGGCAATCAAAGGGTTAAGAAGTGATCCAGCTTATAATCGAAGGGATGTTAGGTATACACTTGTAGAAAGATAAATATTTGCCAAATAAAATTCCAATAAAAGACTAAAAATTCTCAAACATGTTATATAATGAATAAATTATTTCTAGTTAACATGTTTTTGCTTCAGTGCCAAAAAAGCCATAACAAATTTGATAAACAAATGCTAAAGTCAGATGCTAAAGTGCAGATGAGTTCCAGTATGGAATATTGATTCAGAATGAGGCAGAAGTCTGAGAACACCAAGGGCAATCGACAGGCCTGGGGTGGGGTGGGCTGGGGTGGGGTGGGCTGGGGGAGCCGGAGCCGTCAGGTCCCGCTATGGAGGGAAAAGCGGCGTCAGGGCTGGGACGGAGATAAGCCAGGCGACCGAGACAGGCTTGCTGCGGCTCGGGACTTTGTCTTTAAAGTGGTTAGAGACAAAGTCCAGCAAGGCTTCTGGTTTGAGTCAAGCCTTTCTTCTTGACCTTGTGATTTCCCAACCGAGGTGCTTGGCATACTTGAGGGGAAAAACACCCTCGTGTGCACCCACGCACACACAATTTTGGCTTTGCCAGATATTAGGTAAGAGAATGAAACCATTTAAAGAGTAAAACCAACACTGAAATAAAAACTACTGCTTCCGTAAAGAACTGCACACACCAACAGGTCCTGCGTATTAGTAATCAGCGAAACTGTAGTTGAGACTGAAAAAAGCGCACTGGCAGGGGAGAGCCGGAGGAAAGCAAGCAAGCGGGGGAGGAGATGACCAGTGCCAGCGTGTGACGGCAGGCGCCCAGGCTCTGTGTTTCGTGGCCTGCATTGCTCTGCACGCTGCTGAGATCCTTCAGGGCCATGCAGGTTAAAACCCCCATGCGTGACGCTGCCCCCTGCCTGCTCCTCAGCCGGGACCCTTCCCGATTCTGCTCCTGCTCCACCAGGCGCCCTGAGCTCTCCTCAGCCGGGCAGCGCAGGCTGCCTCAGCACGAGCAGGCTCAGTGTGCTGACGGCGGGCAGACCTGTGTGTAGCAGGCGGAAGGGTGGGTTTGTATTTCTGGCTCAATGTTTTTTCATATAGAACCCTTGGGACTAAGGGAGGGAACACAACCCCAGCGCTCTAAGCTCCACACGTGCAGCCATCCGCACACTCAAAAGGACAGGTCACTGCTCTCAAGGCCAAAAGGGCTGTGCTGTCCTGCAAAGAACTCTGCAGCAAAACCAGAGGCCCAGGTGAAGCCACAGGATGACACGGTCGGCTGTCACCAGGGAAAATGACGCATGGGGATACTGCTAGCAGAGGTAAGAGTGCCACCCGGCAGATTTTATTTTAAACAGATGTGATTGGGACATAAGGACACTTCACCTTCTGTCTTAAACAGATAAGAGATTGGTGTTTACTTTGCAACCTAACTGTAAGTGGTACTGTCTCCTCTGGGGGCCTGTTTTGGAGGCGAGACCAGGTGAGTGTCTGACCTCCAAGCCTGCTTCTAGCTATGACTATCAAAGCTGTATGACTTCCAGCAGTCACACATGTGGCCCCACTGCAGTGCCACTCGGGGAGCCTTGTACTAACAAAGGCGACTGCTGATGTGTAGCCTTTTTGGAGGCCTTGTGGTTAAGACAGTTTTTCATTTACTTGAAAAATACTAAACTATGACATTTCACTTTGAAACTATTCCTAGGAATACAAAAGTCTTTGATCTTTCTATCGCATGGAGCACAGAATCTTTGGTCTACACCAATGTTTTCTAAAAAGGCAAAGACCTAACATTTCCTAAGACTTAGCAGTTACACCCAAAGGGCACAAGGTGACTCATTTTCACCAATGCAACCAGAGAGTGCCCATGGGTCACATCCCCTGCCACTGTGAGAGCTCTCTTCATGTGGTCCCTCCGTGAGCCACACCGTCTGCGTGAGCGTGTGGGAACACACAGAGGGGCCCTATTGAGGCCGCTGCTTCCAAACCACTTGTTCTCGCCCACGAGCAGGTCAGTCAGGTGAGGTGAGCCAGCCCTGTTGAGGGTGTCTGTCTGCTTCTATCACAGAGGTAAGGCAGGTGTCAGGATGCCTTCAACAACGAGAGTGCAGTGGAACCAAGGCTGGGGCCGGACACGGCCGTCCTGTCTGGAAGGCCCACAGTGCAGCTGGTCACAGGCCAAGGGCACGAGTGTCACCGTAGGAAGCGCACACCTCATCTAGACAGCTCAGAGCAGGGAAGCAGTGTGCGGCCCTTGCATGGCGGCTGAGGATGGCCGGAAGGAAGCAGACTCTGAACCGTAAACTCGAGGAGTCCTCGCTGAGTTAGTAAGGTTCCCAGGCAGGTGACGACAGGCAGAGCAGTCTTACGGCTTTCACATTAGGAGGGGAAGGGGAGAAAGAGCAGGGAGGGAAGAAAGGAAATCCGGCTTTGAAGAGGTGAAAGACTCCCCTTTACAATTACCAGGCTTCGTTAGGCAGTAAGATTCTCTGGCTGGAAGGCACAGTAAGAGTAACTAACACGTGTTAGTAAGACACAGAAATCGCTGCGGTGGACAAGGACGGCTGTGCTGCTAACGAGGCGGCAGCCGAGGCTGGGAGCTGCTGGCAGAGGAACCGGTCCAGGGAATTGTGATAACTGTCACCATGTCCTGTCAGTGGGACTGCGAATCCCTGGTGTGACAGAGGCTTTAAAACCGCAGAGGATTCTGCCAGTGGTTCATGTTGGTCTGGCCAAGTTCACTGGTTCGGTGGGGCGGGGCGGGCCTCCCAGGTCTGGGCCACACCACTCGGTTATAAAGTGGAGCGACGGGGGAATTTCTGGCCTCATTATCTTGGTTATGTGCCCACCATTTTCATAAAAATAAATAGGATGCATTAAGTCAAAATCAGCATTAAAATTTGAAACAAGAAAAAAAGGGATAACAATTTGGCATTGTCAAGGTAAAACGATAGAAATCTCTTTAAATAGACATTTTATTACACCCACAGGCGATAAAATCCCAGAGCTACGGTCAGGCAGGTAAATACAGACCCTGTAAGGAAAGACAATGGAGAGCCGCATTAGTCCCCCGACAGTTACGGGAGGAAGCGCTTTTGTCTTTTCACTGTACTAGGCATCGCAAGTAATCCAGAGGTGACGGGGAGTACAGGGTCATCTGTTATTAAGACCACAATGACACCCATGTACATATTCACTAAAAAGACTTTTTAAAAAAACTCTAGAAAACTTTGCTCAGTGTAACATATTTCACAAAACACCCGCCTATTAAAAAAGAAATCACTCACCTTGAAATCACCTTCAAAGAAAAAATGTATTCAGTTTCCAGAAAAATTTTCAATATAAGTTTAGAATCACAAAAAGGTCACTGTCACAAAGTATAAGTGTGTGTACTCTCAGGGAGCCACGTTCTAACATAAAGGGTGACATCTCACTGCAACACACGGCTGCAACTTTAAAGTATTAATCCAAAATGTTAAAGCTGACACCAAGTAATGGCAACCTTAAAAAAAAAAGTTTAAATCTTCACCCATCTCTTGGCTTAAAAATTACAAAGGCAAAATAACTCCTTCAAGGTTATTTTTAACATGCTGGACCTGGTGGCACAGGCCTGCAACCCTAGCATTCTGGTGAGGCTGAGGCAGAAGGATTGCAAGTTTGAGCAACTTAGCAAGATCCTATGTCAAAAGAAAAAAGAAAAAACGAGCTGTATCTCAGTAACGAACCACACAAAGAAAAACAATGTCACCAACAGAAATAGAAAGATTATGCCCCAACCACCTTCCATTTCATTCATAAAACATTCCAAGTAACCACTAACTAATGACAGTCTTATCAAATTTATGACTCCTTCAACTGTAAACTATACCATAATTTCTATTCGCTACTAAGAAAGAAAAGTGCCAATTAAAGTATGATAGTCTGTCTAACAGAAATTTTTGTTTGAAACAAGGTCTCACTATGTACCCTAGGCTGGGCTTGAATGTCTGATGATTCTCCTGCTTCAGCCTCCTCAGTACTGGGGTAGATTGTGAAAAAGGGTTTTCATTTAAGAGGTGTTAAAGCGCACACACACACACACACACACACAAAGGGCTAGGCTCAAAATAAATGCAGTATTTGTCACTGACTATAAATCCAAGGTGCCTCCTTTCCAGGGTGTTTTGAACACCTTCCCACAGAATGGCTTACCTGCTAGATACTTGATCGTGTCAAGCTTGTGTGACTCCAGCATGGTCTTGAGGCCAGCGACCTCGGTTTCAATCTTCCTGTCGGTCTGGGTCAGGGCCCGATCCTGCTGGGCATGCTTTCAAAACACAGAAGCGCAGGCATGAGAGCGCCCTGGCTACCGCCCCTCTGCCCTCCATCCTTCCTGGCATGGCACACACAGCGCAGCTTGGGCTGGGCCCCGGAGGCCGAGCTGAACTGCCCAGGACCCTTAAGGCACCTCCAGGCCCGAGTCTCCTTCTGTTTGGAAAAAGGAAACCAAACCAAACCGAACCCACTGGTTCTGCCTTTACGCTGGTCACAGGGGCTACCAAGAGCATCGAAGGAGGCAATCTATGAGGAAAAGCTTTGGTAAACTACAGCCTGTCCTACAAATGACGCGGCACTGTACCACCAGGCCAGCATGTTACCAACGGCAATGAACTCGCCCCATCTCCTAAGTCCCCCTTGGTGAACTCTAAAGAGTTATTTGGAGAATTAAATATAGACTCAGATGATCTAAAAGCTCATCCTGATACTATTTTAGTCACATTTTTATAAATTGTCTTCTTTTCAGTTTAAACATCACGAGTTTTATTAGTACAAGGCTTGGCTACCAAGGCTAGCCTTCATGATCATCTCCAAAAATAAACACTTACACGAACTACACACTGAACCCCCAAGGGCAGTGAGTGTGGCTGATAAAGAGATTATATAATATATTAACGCACAAAACACTGAGTATGCTTCACTAGGTATCCTAGAAAAAGTAAATAATTTCCTATAGTTACCAATTCAGGCAAAGAATAAGGAAATAAATGCTTGGAATCTGCACAATCCAATGGCCCAGAGTTCTCTCATGCAGCCTCTTTCAGGATTCAGAACTCCCGGGGAACATACCCAAAGGAAGCAAAAACAGGCAATTGCATGCTCGTGTTTATTACATGATCATTCATAACAGCCAAAAGACAGGAGCAACCCGAGTGTTCACTGACAGATAAACCAAATGTGGTACACATGAACAATGGTATACTATTCAACCTTAAAAAAGATCTGTTCCTTGCAACAACATGGCTGAGTCTCAGCAACCCTGGGGTAAGTAAAATACGCCAGCCACAAAGACAAGTCCTAGGACTCTACTTCAGAACACTCACTCACAGAGAAGGACAGCAGAGCGTGGCTGCCAGGGGCTGCAGGAGGGGAATGGGAGTTAAGGGTTTCAGGGACAGGTTTCAGTTTTGCAAAACAAATGCTACTGAATCATATATATCTAAATGGCAATTTTGATGTTAGATATTTTTCCACAACAACAACAACAACAACAAAAACCCACACTGAATCCACACATCTTCCTGTAACACAAACAACAGCACCCATGCTGGGGAGAAAGCAGGGGGATAACACAGCAGAGTCCGAGTCCCACTCCTTACCAGTTCTACTATTTCCGTCCTCAATTCCAGCAGCTTCCTTTCGTTCAGTGAATACTGAAACACACAGGGAACACAGGTCAGGCGCTCGGCAGCTCTGTCCTCTCTGCCGCCTGGGCCCCGCCGCCTGCTCCTCCGGCCGAGACCCACCGCTCTGCCTCCCCTCTGTCGGCTGCCCCCTTGGGCTGGGCAACCTCCAGCTTCCTCTCACTAGAGAACGGCACTTCCTGAGGGGCTGGGGAGGGCCCTGGATACAGCACCTGCCTGGCATGTGGGAGACTCTGGATTCAATCCCCAGCACCCGGGGAAAAGTTATGACAGTTCTTTCAGTCAATTTGTTTTTTGGTTTTGAGACAGGGTCTTGCTGTGTAGTCCAGGCTGGGCCTGAACTCACAGCAATTCTCCCGCCTCAGCCTCTCAGCTGCTGGGATTGCAGGCGTGCACCACCACACCAGCTCAAATCAATTTTGTCAGATGCTGAGTCACATAGTTTTTTGGCTTTAAGAGCATGGAAAGTGGTAGACTCAATTCAGCTATCGCAGCATAACTAGAGACAAACAAACCACCACTAAGGCTTAGGGAAAAGACAGGAACAATATAAAGTCAGGAAAAAATTAGCTGCAAGGAATATTGTTCTGTGACAGGCACTTTGCCCTATGATCACGAAACACAACATAAATGCAAGAAATACACTAAACCATCACACACTGGTTTTAATAATCACCAGTGATCCCACCAGGCCGTAGTCACAGAACAGTGTCCCTAAAAGAGACGATAAGTTAACCCGCTGTCTTGCCTTTGGCTATTAATGTCAGTGAAAGGATCTGCAGCAGCTTTGTTGACCCTAAAATCGAAATTAGACATCAGAAGTGGGCATTAGGATCCAACTGGGCAAATGACAACCTTAAATGATGTTTGAGACCTAAATTAGCATGGACCTAAATTAGCATGGTGATGAAGGAAAAAGTTAACACTTGGAAGTACCTAGATCCTAGCACTCAGGAAGCTAAGGCAGGACGATTGATGCGAGTTCAAGGCCAGCCTGGGCTAGAGAGAGAGTTCAAAGCCAGCTTGAATTGCATAGTGAGATCTTGTCTCAAAAAAAAAAAAAAAAGTTTGTCAGGGGACTACTGCAGTTTCTAGAAGTAAAAACAAAATAAAAAGTTAGAAAACCGCTAACCCCCAAATTGAAGACTGATTAGTTACAAAACTGAAGAGCGATGCTCTCTCAGGCCAGGGCTTTACCCTAGGAAGGCGCTACGCATCTGATCACCACCAGAGGGCAGAGTAGGACGGGATCGGCTCCAGGCTTTGACTCCAGGCTTTTGCTCCGGTCTTCCCTGGAGCCCTGACTCATCCACAGGGGAAAAGAAAACCCTAAAATATCTTTTTTATTTTTAAACCTAAAATCTTACCATTGCCACTATTTTAAAGAGAATTTATTTGGCTCCAGCTCCCTGATCCCCCAAAATATTACATGCCATACCGCCTTTGAAACTGCTGTGAATGTCAACAGTTTTTCTTCCTTTCCTTTGTAGTGCTAAAGACTGAACCCCGGGTCTCACACAGACTAAGCACATTAAGGTCCGATGCCAGCTCTCATTTAATCTTTAAATTAACCTGACATTATAACTTTTCAGGGAAGAAGGCAGCTAAGTAGCCAGGCTCTGTCGCTGCCTGCAACATATACTCTGACCGCCGGCCTGTGCTTCGGAGTAGGCTCAGGCCGCGAGCCCCGCATGTGCACTGGTTTCCATCTACACATTTCCCAGGCTCCTCCAGGCCTTCCTTCTCAGCTTGCTTAGCTACAGGCACACAATCGTCTTCCCACACCAAGCGAACCCACAGTTCTAAACACACCACCGGAAAGGGAACAAGTAGCCAGTGTTTTGTCTTCTTGATCCTAAGTATAGGCTGGTGGCCACTAAGAGTTTTAATGACACTCAGGGCTGAAAAGTGCAATGAGACCAGAAAGATGAGTCATACACGGGCACAATAAGAACTTCTATAATGAAGCTCAACTCCAAAAGCCGCGGCAGGGCCGAGATGCAATCATACACTTGCATTTCAGTGTTGGCTTCATTCATGCTTTAGAGAACATTCTGATTAAAGGCAAATTGTGAAAAAGACAGAGAACAGTTGTGAGTACTCAGCTGCTGCCAGTTCATGCTATGAGAAACGCTCCACAGGCCTGTTTCTCATTACACTAAGAACAGGAAAGGTGGCTCTCTAGTGTCACTGTATCTGAAGAAAGACCGAGCTAGAAGAGAGATCATCTACACAGGTCAGAAAATCACTAGAGCAGGGGGCTGGGGATTTAGCTCAGCAGCAGAAGCGCCTGCCTTGCAAGCAGGCAGTTGTAAGTTCGATCCCCGGTACCGATAAAAAAAGGAAAAAGACAAAAAAAAAAAAGAAAGAAAGAAATCACTAGAGCAGGCCAACATGTATTTTTGTTTTGTGAGACGGGTCTCACTTGTAGTTCAGAGTGGTGCTGACCTCCCTATGTAGCCCAGGCTGGCCTCAAACCTGTGGCTATCTCCTGCTTCAGCTTTCTAAGTGTTGGGGTCACAGCTTGTACTATCACGCCCGGCCCAATACATATTTTTATGAAAAATGCAACTTCTCCTTGTATTTAAAAGACAATGTATGGAGGTGGGGAGGCAGTCCCGCGGAAGAATTTGCTTAGCATGAGGGAAGCCCTGGGGCCTATCCCTAGCACAAAAATCACAACCAAAAAGCCCCAAACAAACAAAACCTCCTCAAAAAACCCAATATAGAAGTATGTTTTAACTTGAAACTTCAGTGTCTAATATTATTTCATATTAGTAATTAATATTTCATATTAGTAACCTAACAAATCTCACCTGAGCATTCATCTTTTGCAGAATTAGGGCAGGTGGAGATTTAAGTCAGTATTAAGCAGATCAAGATTCAGTTTAACATCCTTATCAATGTCTATGTAACATATAATCTAGTAGCTCTGAAACAAAGAATCAAATGCTATATGACCAAGTTTAATTTTAGTGTTACTTTTTAAAGTGTCACACATAAGCCAAAAAAAACTCTGAAATTTAAAAATCTGTGTGTACACTGATTAAGTAGATAAAACTTCAGCAGTGCTTGTGACCTGGATACAAACCCCATGTTTAACCAAGCGTTCCATCCTGAAAGGAAATGAACTGAGAACTACCTCCGCAAAGGAACATACCAGTTCTTTTACTCTGCTCTTTTCTAGATTGAAGTCTAACTTGGTGTCTGTTCGGACTTTGATCACTTCATCCTAGTAGGAAGGCAAACAACAGAGAAAGACAGAAATCCAAAGTCAGAAATCAAAACCTTCTGGGACTGCGCCGCCGGGGTCGCCCACTGTCTCTGTCCTAAGGGGGCCCACTGGGGTGCCGGGGAAGAGCAGCAGGGCCTGGTGACAGCAGGGACTCTGGAAAAGCCATGCCTGCAGCGAGCTCCGTCTGAGGGCTTCCCAGTTACCCACCCACTTCCATCATCCATCTATCCATCCATCCATTTATGTGTCATAGTGGTTTTGGCTACTAGCTTTTGTGGTGGTGTGTTTTGTTTTGTTTGGAGGTGGCGTTTCATTTTCTTGCTCGAGTTGGTCTCAAACTCTTGGGCTCACACGATCCTCCTCCCTCAGCCTTCCAAACAGCTGGAACTACAGGCCTATTGTTGCTTTCCAGTATTCCTTATGGAATTTATAATTTAAGCAGTTCCTTGGAAAGCAAAGATGGATTCAAAGAAGGAAAATATTACATTATAGTTTAAATAAAAGCCTTCTCTCTAAAACTTCTCAAAATCCTTTTCTTTTAAACACACCAATAATCCTTTTTACTAAAACCAAACCAAACCAAACAAACAAAAAGCTGATCTTTTATTTAAAAGTTATCACCTTTAAAAATCACATTTAATTCTAAGAGCATCTAAAGGTTCCGTGTGGCTACTTAAGAAATATTTTGACTTTAAAATGATTTCATGTCTCCTAGAAAACAATTCTTTTAATGAATTTAGTTAGACATAAGTATTTGTTCATTGTGTGCTTCTGAGGTGTATTACACAAACAAGTGACAGAGCAAGAAACAATGTTTTTAAGAACACATAATGGATTTCTGACATAAATAGTAACATATTTATGTAACTACAAACAGACCAGCAAGCTGGAAAGAGTCTTACCGTGACTTGTTGTTTTAACTGATGTAGTTCAAGCTTTATTTTCTAAAAAACATGTTAGAAAGAAAAAAGGATATATTAAGAAAGAAGAAAAACACAAAACTCGATCAACAAATACTACGTACAACACACATCAGCGTGAAAGTCTCTCTGCCCTCACTCACCACACCCGGGAACATACTCGGCTACAAAGCTGGTGATGCCAATGCAGCCCATGGAAGTCCTTCCAGTTCCCAAGAGAGGTTACATAAAACTGGTGATGCAACTGGTTTTTAACACACATATCTGCTTTCAGAAACTCTGCCTTCTTTAATACTTTCCTTCCATTTTTATTTCAACAAATGCTGCCCTCAAATAGCTGATTTCAAGAACAATTTTAGAGGTCAACTTCTTTTTTTAACTCAAGCTTTATTATGAAGCTACAATCAACAAGCAATAAACAACCATCCCTTGTGAGACTCTAAGCAGGACCAGAAATTAAAGGGTGTGCACAGAGAGCGCCCCTATAGGATGCTGCTCCCCGATGTGCGCTTTTAGAGGAAGAGAGATACTGTGCAGCAGCACCGACTGGCAACAACCAAAGCCTGGACCCAACCTAACGACATCACGTGAGCCCACGTGGCACAGTCACTTAACACTACCGACCACGGAAAGGAAGCTATGTCATGAGGCATGCTGTGGACTCGCGTCACAGGAGGCTCTACAGCAGGAGACGCCAGTCCGGGCGTCACAGCCGGGACAGTGACTCTGGCGCTGGTGACGCTCTGGCTCCTGACCCGATAAGCGGTGGCCACTTGGAAGTGCGCTGCGGCAGACACCTACCTGCACCATCTATGTGCAGGCGTGACTCTCACCGTCTTAAAGCAGAGGGAAAGAGGCTCAGCGACTTTACCTCATTTTCTGCTCTGAGGGCTGAAAATTCACTCTTCTCCAAAATAATCATATCCTTTTTCACATTGGAAATCTTAGACATTATCTGCTGCAGAGTGATCTCCTAGGAAAAGAGAAACAAAGCAAACAATGTAACCCGGCCCAGGAACCTGCCTCTGTGCCTCACCTGCTGTCACTTTAAGGAGAAACCAGAAGGATGTGGACAAGGAGGGGGCTCAGTAATGTCACCTCCCTCAGGAAATGAAGACAGCAGGGACACAGACAACACCACTGCCAGACCAATCAGTTAGAAGTAGAGGGCCCGAGGCACAAGACGGTGCTGCCACCCTGCAACCACAGGCACATCACCTCTTACTGAGGACGTTGGGACTGGATGTCAAGGTTTGAGCACAAGGCACTGTCAAGCACGATGAGCTCATTACAGCTGACTAAATAGCTCTGAACAGTTCTTATAGTATGACTGTACTTTGTCCCTTAGTGGTGGCTAAAGTGACATACTTTCAAACAAATACTATCCAAAAATTACATTCATATGTTCTAAAACCAATATTCTCTCAGATTTCAAATTCACAAAACTCCCCAGATCACACTATTTAACATGTAAATTTTTTTACAAATTAGAACCACATCCTCAGAGAATATTTACCACCACAGGAAAGGCCTGGAGCTCGTGTCAAGTGAAAACCAAGGGCGAGACCCACCTGCTGCACCTTGGTGACCATGTCTTTGTAGACAATGTCCACGTTGGCCTCCATGATCTTGACCAAGGCAGACGCAATGATTTCTGCTTGTTGAGTCGTAAATCCTAGGCAAGCACACAAATACACCACATTCAAGAGAAATGCGATTGTCAGGGGAAAAAATTACACCGCAAACTCACATTCTTATGACGGTCTGAGTTCAGGAAAGCACAGTGTGAGGAGGTGTGGAGTGTGAGGAGAAGGTGTGGAGACTAGGGTCTGGGGGGGGGGGAGTGTCTGTCACCCCGTGCACAGCGGGGAGGCTGGGCTGCTTCCAAGCCATCCAGAATCGTTTACACAGGGAATGCCTGGAACTCAGTGGTGGGTGGAAACCAAAGCAAGGCTCAAAGTCATAGATGCAAAGCTTGCTCCTGCAGTGGTCCTTCTGGGGCCCTGTGGACGGAACCCAGGCCTCAAGCACGCTAGGCACAGACCCTACTACTGAGCTGCACAGCCAGCTATTTCTGTAATTTAACAGACTCATCAGAATTTGTGTTCCCTTTTTCATATTTCTCTGAATTGTGTAAATTTTCTACAGTGGATAAGATACTTAATTTTAAAATGCTCATTATTAAAAATAATTTTCTTAAATAGGAAATCACCATTATTTTATATCTAACATAAATTAGTTAAGTATTGACTATTGTTGACTATAAATAGTAATCTAGCTGTTAAGTGATTTTAATCAATTCTTTCTTTTTCCTTCCAATATTCTTCAGTCACCAATCTGAAGGGCCAAAATTGCAGGGGGGTGGATTTTTCATACTTAAATGATGGTGAACTGAATTATAGATTCAATTCATATTGTTACTGTTTTTAGCAACTACAGATAACTCATATCTCACCTTAGAAGTCCTAATACAATGTTGAAAACTTAGTCCCTGAAAAGTAACTCTATTAAATGTTTCCACTGGTGAGAACTTCAGAAGAACCTACTGATTCTTCCAATTAATTAATGGTGTATTTGTTTGAAACAAGTTGTTAAGTGATATAATTTGTTTGGATGAGATTAAGCATAGGACTAACTCAACAAAGATGCATATTTAAAGAAGAAAATGTGGGGCCGGGGGTTTAGTTCAGCAGCACAAGTACCTGCCTGGCATGTGTGAGGTCCTAGAGGGATTTGTGTAGACGATAAACTCCAAAGCATATAATTTATAATCACTCAAGGAAGGAGAAAGAAGAAAAATCAGAAGTTAAGCCTTAGGACCTGAGTTCTGAGCTGCAGGAATGAGACATTAGCGCACAAGCAGAGGGGTGAGGTCGCAGCTTTAGCGGTTTTGTGTAGCAGGAGACACAGCTCTCAGCTCTCATAAAGAAAGGGCGAATGCTCCTTGGAGATCTGCCTGACCTCCTCCAAGCCAGTCCACTGACTCTGCCCTTCCATGGCGGAGGCGCAAACCCCCACATAGGCAGAGCCCGCACAGCTGTGGTCTTAAAAGATGCAAAAAACCACGGCTCAAGGTTTAAAATCTAGAAAAGTAAGAAAACTGTATACTCTGTTAACTTTATACCCCCATGTCTATTTTCCTTTAAATGTCCCAGCTGAAAGAAGTTTTAGTGAAAAAAACCCCGTTTCAAGTTGGACAAGAAAAGCTGTGAACATTATTTATTATACACCAGTTAGCTTTTCAAATATGAGCCATCTACAACTGGATAAATAACTAGACAGTGAGGTAAAAACAGTTTTTTCAAGGGCATAATTTGAAATTCTGATTTTGAGACTATACGGAAGACACAATACTGAATTATTACGAGTGCATTTATCTGAGTATGATTAAGTATGCAAATAGTCCCCATATCCCAAGTGTGCTCTGAATAAATGCCATGAACACTGCAGCAATAAATGAAACAGCGAGGTGGAAATAATCAATACCTGCAGCTCGGCAACATCTCACTTTTGCAAAATTCTTAAAAGCACACAGGACGCACAGTGATGAAACTACCTCTTTTGTGCTTCACACTCGCTTGTCGGAGACACTGTTTCTGAGTTTTACTGACCTGCGTCTAAATTTTTATTGATGACACAGCTCTTCCACGGTGATGGTATAAAGTTGTATTTCACACAAACAGAAACAAGTGAGAAGAAAATCTCCATTGCAGTGAGAAAGCAAAAATGGCCTTAAACAAAAAAATGAGGACTTAAAGAGTGACTGAAATGTTACTGCAGGCTAAATCAAAGAGAAATATGAGCAAATAAATGGAACCGTGTTTTCTGGGCGCTTAGAGACCCGAGAGAGGATTACCATTTGCTTCCAGTAAGCACACTAAGGCATGGGTGTCGAAGTAGAGCTTCTGGTGCCCCGGAGAGGTGAAACCTGTCCTTCTGTGCTCCAGCTGCAGGCATGGTGCAGACAGGCTTAGCTCTAGAATGGAAAGGAAAGGAAGTTCAAAACACAGCTCACGGCAAACAAAAGCAAGTCAGTGTCGGTGTCGCTCCCGGCCGGCAGGAAGAACACACGACAAGATCTGGCAGTGGCTAGGCTCTCTTTATTTTCCTTCTCCGCACAGTCTGCCCCGGGATTCTTCCCGGCCGAAGCCTCTACCGGTCCGCTCCCCGCGGCTCCTTTCGTGCTTCTCCTCTACAGTCTGTCCCGAAGCCTCTACCGGTCCGCTCTCCGCGGCTCCTTCCGTGCTTCTTCTCTACAGTCTGTCCCGAAGCCTCTACTGGTCCGCTCTCCGCGGCTCCTTCCGTGCTTCTTCTCTACAGTCTGTCCCGAAGCCTCTACTGGTCCGCTCTCCGCGGCTCCTTCCGTGCTTCTTCTCTACAGTCTGTCCCGAAGCCTCTACCGGTCCGCTCTCCGCGGCTCCTTCCGTGCTTCTTCTCTACAGTCTGTCCCGAAGCCTCTACCGGTCCGCTCTCCGCGGCTCCTTCCGTGCTTCTTCTCTACAGTCTGTCCCGAAGCCTCTACCGGTCCGCTCTCCGTGGCTCCTTCCGTGCTTCTTCTCTCGTGGCGGGAGAGGCACTCACTTTTATAGGGTTACAGTGGCCAATCAGTTCAAAGTGCGCGATGCGGGCTGATTGGCTAACATCAGTTGTTGCTAGGCAGACTATCTTACAGAGCGGGTTGTTTACCAAGCAGGAAGCAGGAGATAAGCGCCATGGGAGGGGTAATCTAGCTCAGGCTTTGCTCTTTCTTACAGGCCTCATGTCCGCCAAGTAAGGCGACCGGGCTCGGCTGCGGCTCCCAACAAATCAGCACTGTGGAAAAAGGATGGCGCGCCCCAAAAGCCTATCAGCTTGTGTGTGTGTGTGTGGGGGGGGTTGGGGCAGTTGGGGATCGAAACGTGGGCCTCATGCACGCTAACCATGTGCTCTACCACTAAGTCACGTCCTGGGATCTGATTCTTTGCCACAGCTTTCAGGAGATGTAACTGACACAGCACACAATCCGCCCACCTGTAGTGTAAAATTCAAGTGCTTCTAGTGTACTTACAGAGTTGGGCATCCATCCCCACAATCAACTTTAGGACACTTTCCTCATCCCCAAAATGAAACTCCGTACCTTCAGTCATCAGTTTCCAGACCTCCCGTCCTTTCTCACTCCGCCTCCTTACCTAGCCAACCATGATCCACTCACTCACTGTCTCTGCTGCTGCACACCACGGGGATCCCCTATACACAGCGCTAAAGGGACTGGATCCTTCACTTCGCATAACGTTTTCAAGTGCCATCCATGTCGCGGAACTTGTCAATTCTTTACTTCCTGGTATTGTGAGACAATACTCCATGCCACATTTTCCCTATCCATTCACTAGCTGAAGGACACAGGCTGCTTCCCCCTCTTGGCTATTATGATTATTGTCTATGGACTAAAGCGTGTGTAACCAGCCGCGGAATCTCTGGATCACATGGGAGCCCCGCTCAACTGATTGTTTGCCAGACCTGCCACACCACAAAAGCACAAAAGTTCAACTTTGATGAAGCCCAAATCTGTTTCCTTTTATTGTGTGCTTTTGATGTCATATGCAAGAAAACACTGTTTTCTTCTAAAGAGTTTTAGCTCTTATAGCTAGGTCTTTGGTTTATTCTGAGTTTTTGAATATAGGGATTCTCTGCAGTAATATCCAGTTGTCCCAGCACCATTTTCTGTACTGACCTGTCTTGTCATGATCACGATGTATAAGCTTTCCATGGTTTCCCACTGATCATACGTCTGTCCTCATTCCAGCACCGTACTTTGTTGATTACTTATGGTTTGGTTGTGTTCTGACCTCAGAAAATGGATCTGAGACTGCTCTTCCAAGACCGTTTGAGCGCCTTGCATTTTCTTATGAACTACAGCATAAGCAATTTTTGCCAAGAAGCCAAGTGAAAATTTTTGCTGTTTTGGTTTTTTGGTATGCAGTTCAGGCTGGCCTTGAACTCACCATGTACCCCTAGGCTGGTCTTGAACTCACAGTGATCCTGTCTCAGCTTCCTAAATTCTAAGATTACAAGTGTACACTACCGGGGCTGGGGATTTAGCTCAGCGGCATAAGCACCTGCCTTACAAGCAGGCAGTCGTGAGTTCGATCCCTGGTACCGATAAAAAACGAAAAAGACCAAAAAAAAAAAAAAAAAAAAAACCAAAAAAACAAGTGTACACTACCACGCCCACTGTCAACTGAGATTTTGAGAGGGACTGTGTTAAATTTGTAGATAAATTTGGGGAATACAATACTGCCAACTTAATAATACTAAGTACTCTGGTCAATACAAATGGGAAGTCTTCTCATTTATTTAGGTTTTTAATTTCTTCAGTGATATTACATGGGATGCAAAGAGTACAGTCTTTCTCCACTAAACATGATGGAAGGGTTTTTTTTTCCCTTTTTGGTACTGGGGATTGAAGCCACCTCATATTTGCCAGGCAGGTGCTTCTGCCACTGAGCTAAGTCACTGCCCAATGTTTTAGCTGTTAAGTTTTAGCTGTTAAGATCCCTTCTATTGCTAGTTTACTGAGGGTCTTAAAAAATGATGAAAGGGCATTAAATTTTGAAAATGCTTTTTCTGGGTCTGTTGAGATAAGCATGTAGGTTTGACTTCCATTCCGATAAGGTATACTACATGAATTTTCAGATGTTAATGAACCTAACATTCCTGAGACACTTACCTGATCACGACACGCAATATTCCTGGCTACACTGCTGGATTTACCTTTTATTCTGTTGAAGATTTTGTATCTATATTCATAAAGGGTAGTTTACTGTGCTGTCTCTGCAAAAACTTAGATCTCAGGGGATGTGCTCTAATAAGCTTTACCTTTTTAAAGAATTACCATATATTTAACAACACACCAAACCCCTTTTGTTTCAAGGCACTCATCTAAGAGAGGTAATAGAGTACACTGCAATGGTTTCCTAGCTTTCAGATGCCAAACTACTATAAGTTATTTTAAAAAATTAGATCAACATTTGGGTTACCAGTTTTTAAATTTTCAGAAGACATTTAAATAATAGCTTCTTACTATTACTACCAAGCTAAAAAAACATATTTTCCAAGAAGGAAAAAGGCGGACAATTTAAAAGACCCTTCATTTAAAGTCAGTAACAGCGGGCATGGTGGCTCTCGCCTGTAATCCTAGCACTCAGGAGGCTGAGGCAAAATACTGCTGAGAGTTCACGGCCAGCCTGGCTGTCTTAGTGGGTTTAAGGCCACCTTGAACTGCATAGCGAGACACTGCTCAAAAACATTTTTTTTTCAGTTACTAAACTTAGCTACATGAAAATCTTGCTGTAAATGTCCTCATTTTTCTAGTTTTACCATTGACTGGCACCAGCCTGAGGCCAGGGAGAAGAGTCATCTATGAAATCAAAGATCACAGGTTTTCTCTACAGGTCTCCTGCGTGACTCAGAGTTAGCTCAGCTAATAGACAATCACTCTCCACCCTCTCTCTCTCAAGAGCTCTAAAGGAAAGCAGCAAGCAAAAATATGACATGGACAAGATCCCATGGATCAGATACAGCCTGTGGCAGGCATCCCCAAATTGCTGGCAATTTGGGCAGAGGCGGTTAAGCATCGAAGTTAAGTATGAGATGCAATATTTCCATCAGCACTGTTTGCTGACTGACAAAATGTAAACTACAATGGCATGTGTGTTTGCTGGTAAAAATAGGTTCTTTAAAGGCCTGCCGGCCTATAGCATGGAGCTCAGATATACAAAGGCCTTCCTACTTTGGTCTTTGCAGGCCTGGCACTGTGTTACACTTTATAGTTCTCCCTGCGTGCTCCACCAAGGTAATAAAGATTCCCTATCTTCCCAGCTCAGTACAGGTAGCTTCGTCATTGCACTTAGTATTTCCATCCCTGTGTCACCTGTGAGCCCAAGGTGCCGAAGAGGACTTTGGGTTTTCTGTGTCACCTGTGAGCCCAAGGTGCCGAAGAGGACTTTGGGTTTTCTTTGTTTTTAGTGCTGGAGATCAAACCTGGTCTCCCACACGGAGCTCTATCCCAACCCTTTGAGACTGGGTCTCCCTAAATCACTAAGTTACCCAGGCTGGGCTCCAACTCTGTCCTGTCTCCCGCTAAGAGCAGCCGTCTTTATTTCTCTCCGGCATCCAGCAGGGGGCCTTGTGTACAGCAGGCCGGTAATTGTTTTTTAGTTTTTATAAATGAACTGTTATAACGTCTAGGATCTGGACTGTGAGACTTGAAAGAACCTTTAAAATCAACTCCTTTCTCTTCTTCATCTCTTTTCCACATAAATAAACTGACTTAAATCTGGTACTTCCTCCTCTCCCACCAATTATCCCCGGTCCTGGGACTCTAGAATTGGCCTTTACAGGGAGAGCCCAACAAGGTCTGCCCAGCACACAGCAAAGGCAGCCTGAGAACTGTGACGAGTGGACAGGTGAAAGAAAGCACCCGTCCAGGTCTGCTAAGGCCACCTCACCCAGCTCTGGGTGTGGCTGGGCTGTGCCCGGGAACTCAATAAACGCCAAGTCTGGAATGGCTTGAGGGGAATGACGACGAGGTTACTCTAGTCCCAAATGGCTTGTTTCTGATGACAAAATAAAATAACCATCCCCATGACTAAAATATGAACCACCTCCCCTTCCATTCACACCCGCACATTTACAAACCAAACCAAACAGTAGCACCACCACTTTCTAAGCAAGCTAATGATGATTTGGACATAATCGATTTTTTCTTTGGTAGAGTCAACGGAAACCAGAAATAGCACACTTACTTCAAAGAAACATTGCTTTCTGAAAAGCCAACAAAAGGTCTGGCAACGCTCCACTTGGCTCTCCACCCCTGCTGGGGGAAGGGAATGCCACCTTGCCGTCAAAGGGCAACACCTAAGGACACAGTGGCACTCTGAATTCCCACCACTAGGAGGAGACAAGCACGCCCAGCTGTGCTAAAGTGTCAGCCCCAATTCTCCTTTCCGGAAAAGTTCCGCGGACCAAAATTATCTTAAAAATCCTATCAGTACACAGAGGCCCAAAGTTAAGTCTTGTACAGATAAAGAGCCACATACAAATTTCCTTCTCATACGGCCCTTAAGTCATCCTACCAAGTTCTCTGGTATCGAACGAACCACCAGGATGAAAATAAAGGAACAAAAATAAAAATATTCTTTTGCTGAAGGCTCTTGGGCATGTCCGCTTGTTTAACTGTCTCTGTTTTGCGGCCCCTTTTTACACATTCACCCTCCTTTCAAGACTCAAGAAATGAGATCTGGGCCAGGGATTTGGCTCTGTGGCATAAGAGCCTGCCTGGCAAGTACAAGGCCCTGAGTTCGATCCCAGGGTACTCCATTCTCCCAAAATGAGGTCTTCGACATTAAAACAAAATACCACCTTTCTGACATAACGACAACAAACCCATGAGAAAGAAACTGCTTTTGCTCCACAATTTAGAACTATAAGAGAGACAGTTACCAGCATGTTAATGGCAGTACAGCAAAGCATAACTACAACCCCGGATTGCTTCAGGACGCTGACAGAGTTGGTTACATACCCCCATCCCATTCAGACTTCCTCCATCACTTCTCCCCTAGTCAAAGGCATTTTTGATTTTAGATGTAGCCAATATTTGACGAACATTTCTCTTGAAAAGATTTGGAAAAAAAAGATGTGGTTACCAATGTCTATTAATGGATACATATATGATACAGGGTATGTGTGCCACATTTTCTGGTTGTCCGGTATGATGATATTCTTACAAGCAATTTGCGCAAATTCGACCCTGTCTCCTCTCCTAATCTCTTTTGCTGGGCAGTGATCCCTCTCTTCTTTCAACATGTATTCAAATGCCACTTCCTCAATGAAACTGATTTTGATCCCTTTAAATTCAAAGGTGGATTTAACTCACCTGCCCACTCCACTGGCCAACGCTGAACCTCTATTTTCCTATCACATTTATCAAATTATGTGTAACCTTATACATGTACGAAGTATATATGTATTTCCACATAACACAAACAACGATTATTGCATGTCTTGTGTTCCGATTAAGCTGCGGAGGGCGGGAAACTGTGCGGACTGCTCCGTCGCGCGGACCTGGAGAAGAGCCAGACATAGGACGGGCGTTCGCGGTCCCTGCATGAACCACACACGGACTCTGTTGGGGTTTGAAGTGAAATTCTCAGCCTGCGCGTGCCGTCCCCGGAGTTCGGTCTCTAGCCGCTCACGCCTTGCGGCTCGGAGGCGCCCACAGGTGGAAATCGGAGCTCCCGCCGGCCGGCGCAGCCCTCCCCGCCCACGCCTGCCCGCCGGGCGCGGTCCCCCGGGGCGGCCGGGCCCAAACCTTCGCCCCAGTGTACCGGGCTCACCCGCCCGCCGCCCGGCTCTCACCTCTCCTGGAGGACGCGAGCGAGGCCGCCGGGCCCGGGAGGAGCACGCCTGCCGCCCCGGTCCCCGCCGGGGCCCTCCACGTGCCGCGCCCTGCCCGGGGCGCCTGAGGCCCGGGGCGCGCGCGCTCCCACTCGGCCAGCGGGCGGCGCGGGGCGGCGGCGGCCCGGCGCGGGGACGGCACGAGCAGGAGGAGGAGCAGCGGCGACGCACGTGACGCGCCGCCCCGGGGCCGCAGCGCCCCCAGCCCGCCGGGGAGCCGGGAGAGGCCGCGGCGCGCGGGGGTTCCAAGGTCGACCGGGCTTGCGCAGCGGCCCGCGGGCAGGAAGAGCAGGAGGCGTCGGCGACCCGACTGACGCTTCAGCCTTTTCCCAGCGACGGAGCCGCAGTCCATCCCGAGCCGGTCACTGGCCCGGGCGCGCGCTCACGGCGGTCGCGCGCGTCCGGGCCCCGAGTCCGACGACGGGAGCGAGCGTGGGCGGTGGCGCGGCCCGCCCTTACTGCCCCGGGCGCGGCGGCGGCGGCGAGGGGTGGAGAGGCCCCGCCCACTTCGATGGTCCCGCCCCTCGATGGGCGTGGCGAGGAACCAGCGGGCCTTACTGGAGCGAGCGCCCTGTGGCGCGATTTGCATATTCATTAACTGCTGTCAGTAAAATGATAATTACTCCACTGGTCGCCGAAGCCCGGTGAAAAGCCCAGGGCCACCAGGCTGCCCTAGATTTTACTGATTAACTCTGCCAGAGCTAAGTTCCCCAAGGTGCAGCTCTGGGTGCGTTGTAAGGAATTATTAACAGTCCCGAGGGAATGGTGCTTCCATAGTACACTTGAAGATTGAACTTTCAGAGCTCGCGGACAGAAAAGGTCGCAATCTTAGAATGTAAAACGTAAAGGGCGTGAATGTTAAGAAATACCTGTGTAATAAAAGCATATTCGAAACAGTGTCGCCTCAAGGTCACTGCATGGATCAGTTAGTGGTCCCTTGTGTAAACTCAGAGATGTTTGTTAAATGAATGAATGAAATGTGTGAGGCATTATACTGTAAAATCTCAAGACAAAAGCGATGTTGTTGTCTTCCAAGGGTAAACAATGATTACTTCTTTTCCAGGAAGCAATGGTCAGTTCCTTACTGTACCACATGCACATACCAGACGAAAGTGTTCCTAGTCACAAGAGAGGTATAGAGTGCTGGGAAAGAGGAGAAGGATAATTGTGGAAGATAACACGGGTATCTATCAAAGTAACTATCACGGCGGAACCTAAATGAACCCTCTAGCTTCACTTGCTCTTAGTTTACTTAAAGATCACTAGTGTTGGAGGTCGTGCAGGTGGACAGAATTATATTATTAGTATCCCTCTCGTTTGCCATTGATAAGATGTCCGCAGTGTAGCTATACAGTGATTGCCTAGCTTGCTTTCCAGGGTCTAGAAGGCCACTTTTCCTGAAACGTGGATACTTTTCTTGGGCTTGCAGCTATCTGATGACAAGGGACTTAAAAGGGGATAAAAAGGCTTGGCAGAGGCCGGGGATATAGCTCAGTGGCACAACGCCTGCCTGGCAAGCACAAGGTTGTGAATTTAATCCCCAGGACCACCCTGTAATAAAATAAAAAGGCTTGACATCTCTGTCTACACGTTGTGTCTGTCACTTTGCTGCCTTTTGGGTCAGATTCTGCTCAGCTGTACACACGGACCCGTGAATGATTTGAGAAATTTTTAAAAAGGTTTATAATGCAAGTTTAACCTGAGGTAGACTTTCCTAGAGTCTCTCTCAGCTCCTTCAAGGTTAAAAACATCTTCCACCTGCCGTGACCAAAAACACCAGACTAGAAAAGAAATGAAGAAATGACACCCAAGTTCCTGGAATATCTTTGCCTAGTCCTAGAAAAGATATGAATACTCTCCCCTGTAATATCTTCTGTGTCCCTTCTCAAGCCTATCTTATGTCTGTAACTCAGCTCCCTTGAGTTGAGAAGCCAATTTGTGATCAAGGCTCCCAATTCTTTTTTCTTTGGCCACTAAATTGTGCTCCTTCTTTTGTGTCTTGGGTCATTGACCATATCAAGTGGCAGCAGAATTATAATTCTGCTTTTCTTGTTTACAAAAATATAAACAATTTAAAAATGAGGTGTATATCAGATGCTTAAAAGGTTAGTAGAAGTATATATGTCACATTGCTAGTGAAAGTGATTTAACAGTATTCACAAATCCTGTTCCTATTCATAAATTTTGTTCAAGTTATCCAACTCTGATAACTGAACCTCAGGAAATAATCAACATAATAAAGAAATTATTAGGGGGCTGGGGATATAGCTCAGTGGCACGGTGCCTGCCAGGTAAGCGTGAGGTCCTGAATTTGATTCCTGTTCTAAAAAAAAATAATAATGCATTAAGACAGTATGGTGTGTCCAAAAAATTATTAGGTAAGATCACTGAAATGTGTGTGTGTGTGGTGCTGGGGATCAAATCCAGGGCCTTGTGCCTGAAAGGCAAGGGCTGTGAGCCACATCCTCAGCCAGAAACTTGTTTTTATATATTAAAATGTTCAGCATTTATAATTTCATATGAATCAGCCTAGAATATGTACAAGAATATTTTTCATATAATGTGTGATTGTGAGAAACTGGATAAACTAATGTTCAACAATAGCAGTATGGCTAAATAACTATGGCACAAATATGGCTTTTTAAATTGAGGTTTAATTTGCATGAAATAAAAGCCACACATATGTTCATGAAATGGCATTTAACAATTGGTATATAGCAATCAAAGGAGATCTAGAATATTTCTCTAAGAGGTCCCTTTTCCTGTCCTCGGTCTGGGAAGTTTATATTTGTAATCCCATGGAAATATTATTGGAATTCTAGGGTAGAATTCCATTGTACCACCTCTAGTGCAACTCACATTGAGAATAAAGACACTAACACATATTTATAGCTAAGGGCAGCCAAAGGATCCTGAGTGCCATCCGGATGAGGGTTCGTGGAACAAAGGCCTCCACCCAGGGTCTAACCTGGATTTTATTAATTTGTGAAGAAAAGAGTGGCTAGAGGATGAATGACTGGGAGAATAGCAGGAATTACCTGAGTACTGGGAGCTGGACTAGCTAGGAAGCCAGAAAGCACCTCTGCAACATGCAGAGAAGGATATGCAGACAGACCAATCTGCATAACAAATCTGCATAACACAATTGAGGGAGCATTTAATCTTTAGGAGGCTGTTGCTTCAGTTTCTGATTTGCAAGCTTTTGTGCCTTTGGAAGTCATAGCCTTTTAACCCAGGCAGCATCCCTTAGACCTGGCTCTGTGTACTGCTGGGCTCAACCGTTTAGGGAGACCCTGAGCGGGGGAAACAGTGACTGTGTCTACCTTCAAAGATGGTGCATCAGTACTTCAAGACAGCCCCATTTACAATGCTTAGAGCCAACTGAAGGGAAAGAAAAGGAAATAGCTTAGTCAGGGAAGGGAAAGGAAATAGCTTAGTCAGCTCTGGACATATCAGTACATGGAGATAGGGCCATGTTTAGCCAGAGAGGAAGTAATTGCTTTTTATTCAAGGAGAGTTGTTCAGGTGCTTTATTACATTTCTCCACTCCAGAAAGTTCCTTCATGGTTATTTTCTATGAGTCTTTGGGTAGAGATGTATATGATTTTATCTGTCGTGGGGGAAACATCTAAGGATCACATTTGTGAATCATATGATAAGAAAAATTTAACTTTATGCACACTGAAAAATTGGTTTTCCAAAGTGATCATGTTCACTTACACTATTACCAGGAGTGGATGAGAATGTCCATTGATTTACATCATTATCAAATTTAAAACTTTTGGGTATTTAGGGAATAGTATCTCATTGTGATTCTAATTTACATTTCCTTGATGCCTAATAATGTTTAGTAACCTTTTAATGTATTATTGCTGTCATCAGTAGTAAATGTAATAATATATATAAAGTGCTTAGCACAGTGTCTGGCATTCTGTGGAAGAGAAATAAATGTCAGCTCCAACCACAAGTTGGAACAACCAACTTATTTGGTTTATATCTAGATGTCCTTCAAGAGCCTCTTGACCACACAGGCGGGACCTTTGGGAGTTTATTGAACTATGACTGCAGAGAGCTCACTTGCTATTAGGAGGTGGAGTCTGGTTGGAAGAGAAGGATCACTGGACACATGGCCCAGAGGGCATGCCACAAGCAGCTCTCCTCCCATCTCTGATCTCCTCCCAGGCCTTCCCATCATGATGTTCTGCTGTGAAGTCAGCTGACTATGAACTGAAACCTCTACAAAGTCTGAGCTAATAAAACCTTTCACCTTTAAATTGTGGGTGTTGGGAATTTTGATCCAGCAACCAAGAAAGTGACAAAGACAGATTTTGGTAGGGTCCTTACTGGGACTATATCTGGTGGTGTAGTTAGTTTGGGGAACCTTTGGAACTGGTTTAGAGTTGAAGTTTGGAGATGCTGACTGGACAGGCAGCCCCGGAAGGCTGTAAGCTAGCTTGATTGAAGATTCTGCACAGAGCTCAGAAGACCAGAATGCTGACAGAAATGCAGATGGCAAGGATCAGGCTCAGGAGTTTTTAGAGGACTTCTGGCAGTTAAACTCCAGACTATGTCCATTATATTGTGGTAGAATGTTTGTCCAAATTTTTCTCATGTCATGAGACTTTGTGGGAGACTAAGATTAGGTCAATGGAATAACTAATATAGCAGAGAAAATTTCAAGGCAGCCCAATGTTCAGACTGTGACATGAATACTACTACCAGAGTTAGCCAGATTTATACTAAAAACAACCCATTTTTAAAGTTTTCAGTTCAGCCATAAAGAAAGCTCTCATAAATATAAAACAGAAGAAAGCTTGGTTTTGAAAAGATTAGCATTAAAATAAGTCAAGTACTTTGGATCTAGGCAATAGGAAAACTCTCCTGGGGACATGTGAAGGACCAGCAAACCCTTCACCATTCCAGGGCTCAAAATTGCAAAAGCCAAAAGACTGCTTTGAGAACAGAGCCCCAGGGTACCATGCTCTAGCACTGGGGCCACCTAGGGAATTTGTTCAGGTATAGCACTCAGTCATCCACCCACTCAAAGGCCTCCATAGCCATGATACAAGGGAGCCAATGTACTGCGTGAGCTGGTAGCAGACCTTGGTATCATCCACATGGAACTGGTTTTATAGGGATGCATAATGAAAGAGTAGTGGATCAAGGAGGCTTCCACTGAGATTTCACCAAAAGGCCTGGGAGACAGGTAGTGTGTCCCTGCGAAGAAAGTGTGTGGAGCTGTAAGAATGAGTTGAGAGTGCAGTGGAGACCCAGAAGGAGCCAGGAAGGTGGAATGTGTAAGGAAAGTCACAGGCCATGAGCAAAGCTAGCCCGAGACAGAAACCACGAGCGCAAGCGTCACAAACAATGCCGTGGGGGCAGAGCCACACATTTCACCAGATGCCAGACTTGGGACTACAAGATTTCGTGTTTTCCCTGGTGGCTTTCAGTCTGAATTTCGTCTCCTTGGTTTCTATCCCTCA